GAGAAAGCCTTTGGTCATGAGATTGTGAGAAAGTGAGCGTTGTATGGAAGATTCCCCTGAATGCCTACAGTATTCTACATCTTAAAAAAATATATTGTGGACGCTGCAGCCATACAAAGGGGGGAGGAGTGGGAGACGGGGATTTACAGTCTCACATAGACACAACGGGGAGGTTAAGACAAGCACAGTCATAGTCTGTAAAACTGATTGGCTCGCTCGGATCAGTCATCCTCATCGTCCTCTTCGTCTTCTGGATCTTCCTCTCCTTCATCCTCTAGATTTCGTTTTCTCTTTTCTCCTCGTGGAAGGTCTGTAAAAAGAGGCGAAGCGTGAAGCTCTGTTCAGTCTTGCGGAACAGCATTTGAACTGCGGCTTCAAGCCGCATCAGCCACAGCTTGCTGGTGAACAAGCACAGACCAGACTGGCACCGTTACGGAGCGGAGATCCACCCTGCCCACTTTCTCGTGGCACCCAGAAAAGCCTGGACTAACACGAGACATTAACTCTTTTCTATGCCCTCCAAGCATCCCACATTTCAACAGCTGCTTGAAAACAGGCTTTTTGTTGTTGTTGTTGAGCACTCCCAAACCTGTAGCATCTGCAGAATTCAGTCACTTCTGACCAAGCCCACGTGAAGTCACACCAGCCACTACATTCTGTCAACATTCGTTCAGGTGTTTGTACCCTGTTATAACCAGAGGAGTCTGGACTCAAGCCAAGAAACTCGGGTCTCCCCTCCTCTCTACCGCTGCCAGGAGCGAGGAACGGGTCTCCAAGAGCATTTCCTGACGCACACTGCTCACATCAGCTTCTGTGACAGAAGCCTGGCTCCTGCACGGACCATCAGTTCAAGCTACTTAGAACTGGTTTTCTAGGCGATTTTCCTCTTTAATACTTGGCAGGCTCACTCAGTTTGGTTGGGTTTAGAAGGTACTGAAACCCATTTCCCCATCACCACCGTGTGACCCTTTGGTTATAACCACTACTCAGTAGCCAGCTTTGGCACGAGCAGCAGCTTCAGCGGTGCCCGTACGCAGAAACGCTGCACTTTCTATCAGGGAAAAGCTGCAGGCAACAACAGCACTACACTGAACCTTGGGAAGCTCTACAAAACCAGCAAGTGTGTGAGATTGTTGAGGCAGTTTTGCAAGCACTTTGTTAGGAGTTGACTCACCATCATCGGCTTCATCTTCTTCATCATCCTCACCATCTTCCTCCTCATCTTCCTCCTGGAGTTAAAACAAGATGCTTTGTTGCAAGAACCACAATCCCATGAGCAAAGTGTAATTCCACAGCAACGTCTTCCTTCACCTCTGCCCCCTCCCTCCTCTAGCCTCAGGGTGGCAGGTACCAGCCGAGCAGGGAGAAGCCATCGCTTCCTAAATAGCTTCCTGCTATTCCTTCTTACGAAGGGAGCTGTATGGTTTTATCACTTGAAGCCATGAGAAGGACCAGGCTGAGCAATAAAGAAGTCTGAACTGGTAAACTCTGCGGACCACGAGCCAAAAGGCACACGGGGAAAAGGCAGAGCGCGTGGCGGCACTCCTCAGATCTGCCCACAGAGGGGCATCCGTGACATCTGCTCAGATGGGTCACCAGATTAAGGGACAGACAGACTACCAAACACAGCAACGTCGTGCTGCAGAGTTACACCGATGACAGAAAGCCTCACCTCATCATCTACTCCATCCTCCTCCTCTTCACCTTCCAGATCGTCATCTTCATCTTCTTCGTCATCAATGACTTCTTCATCCAAATCATCCTCCTCATCGTCATCATCCTCTTCCTCACCTTCTATCAAAAGCAGAGGGAGGTTAAGCCTTACGGTTCCCAAAATTCGCTACTCCCAGACAATATGCTCGCACCTCCAACCCCAGTACTCCGTGAGCAACACGCAGGAAATCACCCAGAACAAGCACGCACAAGGAGCGCCAGCAACAAACCCCGTCAGCTTGCCCCAAGTCTCATTTCTCATGCGGCCTCCCCAGGGAGGGAGGGGGGTTACCCAGACAGCCCCTACCTCAGTGGCAAGTTATAATCATCATTTATTTAGCAACATGACCATGCAGAAGGGGAAAAGGGGTTGATCCCCAGCAAGAAAACCAAGAGGAGAAAAATCCTCACCTTCCCCGTTCTCATACTCATCTTCCAGTCCATCCCCATCTGCTTCAGGGTCAGAGTCAGGGGCTTCCTGGTCATCAGCATCAAATCCGTCTAGGTAGGTGAGCTGGGGCAGGAGGGTGAACACGCTCTCCCGGTAGTTGATGAGCATTGTCACCTCACAGTTGAAGAGGTCCAGACTATGGAGGTTTGGCAGCTTTTTCTGCAAAGATCAATTTGTTAGATTATTTACAAGCTGCCACTGGTTGAAGATCAGGCAGCCATCAGAGGACAGCTGGTTTGCTACCCAAACCTAGTACAGAAGTGTCTTTGCATGCATTATTTGCACCACGCGCTCCTCTGATGGGAGAGAAGTTACTGCTCTTGCTAACTGTAGGCAAAGAAGATTTCTTTCCAGTTCCTCTGTCCCAGTCTCCCCTCCTTGGAGCCAGCTCCCTGTGAAACCAATTGCAAATCTGACTCCCTTCTGAACGGGGTGGGCAGCGAGCACAGAAAGCGCAGCTCCCCTAGCAGGAGGAATCGCCGAGCCAGACTCATCCTGCCCAAAACATCAGGCAAAATACCCGAGAGCGCAGCCCAGGGAGACCCGAGGACTGCGCCTGTGTGTGCCTTTTGGCACAGCCATAGCAGCTCTCCCGGTCAGGCCGTCGCACCGTGCACCAGGTCAAGCAAAGGAGGAATGAAACAGTTTCAAGCTCTTTCTGGAGGGGATGGAGGGACCAAAGGCAACAGCTAACGAGGCAAATGCCCTAGATCAGACCTTTCAGCTACAGAGTCAGGATCACAAGGCAAGATCTTGCCTTCTTTGGGGCAGTTGAGATGCAACGGGAACCCCCTGCAATGCATGCTGTGACAGCACCCAGGGCGAGAGGGTCCCAGCCCAGCACACCAGCGCCTTTGGACTGACGTGATGGACACCCTCACTGGTGTCCAAGCAACTCATCTCCATGACACCCCAGGTGCCACCTACCTCAAACTGCATCCGACCCATTAACGGTCCTTTCTCAGATGGACACTGAGCACTGCATCCACAGTTTTACTCATCCAGCCCAATCTCACGCTTCTTTTAGCAACTGGCTGCTGGTTTTCCAGACAGAGGAGCCATTAACTATTAGCCCAGCCTCAAATTGGACCCACTCATCTGTTCCCATCAGAACCACGAAGTGCTGTTGGAACAGGTACCAAGACGTTGGACTTCTGCTGCACAGACACGCTCCCCAAAGGAAACAACGTCATCCCTTAGATTCCAGCACAGCCTTCCACTCACCAAGGGCTCCAGGGTAATGATCTCTTTGATCTTGTTGCCGCTTAGATTCAAGTGTGTCAGGTTAGGAGTTCTCTCTGCTAGAACTTCAAGGCCACCAGAAATCCTGTTATCACTCAGCTCCAGCTGTCAGGAGGGAATATTACGCAGTCACAAAGTGTCTTGGACTGTGACATGGGGAATAATATTCCCCCGAGACCCAGACTACAATAAGCACCCAAATTCTAGACCCTGTTTGTTAGACCAGTCATAGAGCAGCCGTTCAAGTTTTCCCTTGAAACCCCTTTCCCACGGTAACGCAGCATCCCCAGCCACCTCCGTACTGCAGGACACAGGGATACACGCTCTAAAATCTGAAATATTTATGATGTTAGCGAAGCTTATGACAGTAGCACAACAGCGAACGCAAGAGAGAAAGGATGCTAAACACAGAAGGAACTCAAAGGCATTTTGTTGCATAGTGAACAACCTCTCTCACTTGCTTAGGTTGTAGGCTACAGAGGAAAAAGCAAAATCAAATGGCCTTTTCCTGGCAAACACCAACTGTGACCAGGGACAGGGCAGCAGAAGTCTCAGAGCAAGGACTGCTGGAGAAGGGACCGCCGGTCTGACTCACCTTCCGGAGTTTGTTGAGTTTGGGGAGATTGGAGACAGACAGCAAGTTGATGTTGATCATGCTGAGGAACTCCAGGTTCTCAAAATCTGAAGAGAGACCAACGATCTTCCCATCGTCCGAACGGCAGTTGTCAAGAACCAGCTCCTTCACCTGCCAACAGAGACACCCAACTGCCGTCATCACACCCGGCTAAGTCTCACCTCGAGTCTCGCCAAGCTGACGTCAGGCAGAGTGACCGACACTTCAGAGCAGCAGGGGTGTCTGAAGGTCCTCCTTACTCACATGAAGGGACACGCAAGATCTTAAAGCCAAAGAACTTTTGTGAGGACACAAAGTGAGAATCCCTCACGGCGGTTAGGACTTCATCCTTTAAGCAGGAGCCATGCAACATGCAACCGCTGCACCACCCCACACCCTGCCGCTCCAACCAAGGTCCACCTTCTCCGCTAAGAAGCATTAAGGGGTTGAACCATGAGCTTGCATCAAAGCATTTCACGCACAAGGTATCACGAAGCTTTCAGAGTCGCACTTCACTAACAAGAAGCTGAACAAGGTCATCTGGTTTTGTCCCCTTCAGCTTTCTTCCCCCACGCTGCTGGGGTGCTGGAAAACCTGCCTCCAGACGATCCGTTTCCCTGTGACAGTATCCACGCAGGGGTGACACATCTGCCTAGATAGGTCTCTAAGCAGATGAGTTCAGCCTCAGGCTCGTAGCACCTGATGGCATCTGGTATTTTCCCCAGCACAGACTACACACACCGAAGCCATCGCTACCCGGGAATTCAGCCCAGAAATCAACCCCCCGGTACCATTAGGACCATGAAGCACCAAAGAACTGCTCCCCACCTAAACACCCGGAGGGTAAATATACCTGGCATCCCCCTCTCCCCCAAAGCGCAGGTGAGTGCTCAAGCCCCAGATCTCACAGGTCACTTCCAAAACTTGCTTTTACCCCACAACATTCTTCATAGCAAGATGCAAAAATCAGCCTTGGCCAGAAGGCTCGCGGTGCTCTCCAAATTCCTCCTTCGCAGCGCTCCCATTTTACCTCTCTTGCTCAGATCAGCCAACTATTAGAGAGTCATTTTAAAATCACTTTGCCTCACTGGCAGCAGAGTTTCAGGGCTGCCGTGCCACCTTCACAGCACAAGCTCCGAACAAAGCTTAAAACTCCCCAAGCGGCGTGGCTGGTCACGGTTCCGAGTTGAGCAGCAAACAGGCTCAGCCAGGAGTTCTGTAGCCGAGCTCGCTTTGCTCCCAAGACCCCAGACAAGCGTCCAGCTGAACCGAGACTCTGTCACCGCGGTGGGTGTAAAGGTGGCCAAAGCCAGCCCTCCACCACTGTCGTTTTGCTGGGGCGGGCACAGAGGTGAGGCTGAACATTACCAGGTTATGACCGAAACTGGCCGAGACCAGCTTTAACCCGGACCAGACCCCTGCCCTGGGCTGCAGAGCAAGCGCTGGGGCAGGACGGAGCAGCCAGGACGGCTTCTTCCAGCAGCAACGCTGGCCCACGCCGCCTTTGGTCCCAGGGCACGCACGCTCTGGCCCTGCTCGCCTCTGCAGCGTGCCAGGCCCTCAAATTCCTGGTGTCAAACTAGAGGAGACCCGCAGCCTCACAGGGACGCTTTTACTCCTCCAATCGTTCTTGCCCTGCAAATCCCTTTGCCATCCACAAAAGCATCTTTAAGCCCTACCAAAAGCTCCACTCACACCCCAAT